AGGAACTGATCGTTATAATTTGATTTGCAATCTCATCATGACTTATAATAACGGGCTAAGGGTGTTTACGTGACTTTGTCTGTGTGTGTGTCTGTTACGAAAATCGTGGAGCGTGTTCCAGCCAACCTCCTGGGCTCAAATTTTGTATAGCGCATGCTACCCGCATAAAAGTCCAACATGCGAAAGCACAAGTAGATTCGTTGATTGGATCCCTCAGAAATTGCGCGCCAAACGGGTCCACCTGGCTTCTGTACCGTAAAATTCGGTCCGTATCACCACTTTTTGCAGAGTCGTGGATGAGTTTGGTAAGCAAATGTGCAAGCGATGGAGTTTAGCCAGAAATGTGGTCGAAAGTTTACTACATAACGAAAACGACGCCAAAATGAATTGGTTGTGTAAATGGTCAATTTGCCAAGGTTCTAGCTAAGCGTTTGAGAAGATTTTCGCACAGAAATGTAGCTCACGATTCTCATTACCTTTATGGCGACTACCAAGTCATGGCAAATCCAAAAACCTATTCAAATTTGCGTTTGTCTTCTTGCGAAAAGTTTCATCCACGCGAAATCACCGATCTCACGTGAAAAGACTTTCTAAATGAGTGGTTGTTTACACTTTATTCGTGGTAGTTGGCACAGCGCGGTGAGTTCAGTGCCACGATTTTACGAGAATGAGTAAGGCACATAGATAGTAGAGTTAGTGCGAACCTGCAGAGGTGGCGCACTGGTATATATATACTCCTCAAAGTGGCGTGCTTTCAATCGCAGGGTCGAAAGTTCTTGACTTTATGATCAATAGCGAAAGCAATGCTAGGTCTATTTCGCACTAAGACTTGGACAGTCTGGAACGCGTGCTTCAGAATGTGTGGGCCAATTTCAACGTCAAATATTTGTCTGTCACGCTGATGAGTTCCGCAAGCGTTCTTCGAGACATGACTGACATCATAGTTTCATAGGTTATTCGCAAACTACGTGCTATCTATGTGCCTATGATGCTTCGTATTTCATCTGAAGAAATATTGAGCTCAGCTTTTGGAACACCCTGTGATTTTATTTAACACGTTTCGGACCGGTGCTACACATGGTGCAGCACGCTGCTTTGGAAGATCTTTTTGACGTTTACAGGAAGTTTTCTTTTAGTCCAAGGTTATCAAATCAAAGGTCTGAGCTTCTACTTTTCGAATGACTCTGTAGAGTTGCGCCGCCGATACTTGTCTAGGAGATATGAGCACAAATCGAACAACAATTGCAACGAAGTGCGGCGACGCGAACGACGCGTGCGACGTCGCAACTTCTCTTTGCTTCGATATCAAAGAGAAAAACCGTAGTTTCAATACTGATGTGTACACAGTACAACATAGATACTTTTGGATACTATTAGAAACTGAGTCCTTGTTCCTATCATTCAGGAAAGCACAGAAACCCTTTTCAAGCGACAAAATTCAAACACTTCAAATTCACTCAGAACTTCGGGTATGGAACTAATTTGACAAGCTGTTTACAGATGTAGCGCACAGTCTACGAAATAAGTCCCTTTGTTGGCTAATGGCTGAAGGTGCACTTTTTTTCGCCGCGCGCGATTTCGCGGTCCGAAACGTGTTAAGTATTATTGCCCGGACCTAATTCGAGTGGGGTTTAGGGGCTCTAATAAGTGCAATAGTTATTCCATTACCATGAATAAATGGCATATGTTTAGCTCCAATTAGCTCTAAAACTCAAAGAACTAGCGTCTCCCCTTCTCAAAAACTAACTTCAAGCGGGATTCAGTGTTCAAAGCTAGTTATTTTAAGTGGTAAAATTCACAATAGAGTTTTAGAGCTAATTGGAGCTCATTACAGATGAAATAGTGCCATAGATATCAAGTTTTTGGAAAGGTTTCATAGCACTAATCTGCCGAGCAAAACAAGTGGGGATGCGCCGGGGAGGAGAATGCGGAGATTTCTTTAGATTTTCGAGGAACCTCAGGCCCCACTGCTTGTGTGAGGCGGCGTGAGGGCAAATCAAAGAGATTCGAAGATTTATGACCGTAAAGCGAGGCACCGTTCGGTGAGCTGAAAGGGGGAGGGGTCAAAAAACCTTTAGTTCCGTATTTTCTGGGGTTTCCATAGCGCTGATCCCAAAAATGTGCAAATTGCTAAGCTAAGAACAACCATAACAAACAATTATGAATCAAATTAGTATAACTTCGAATCAACCAAAAGAAAGACCGGCCACCTTGTCAAGCTGGACGGCCTAGTCCTGTGTTGCCAGGAGGGATATAGGCTGTACCAACCAGCATCGGTTGTGCGACGTCGCACCTGCGGTAACTTGCGACGTTGCGAAGTCACGCGTGCGAACTCCGCTTAGTGCTACGGTACGTCGCATGCGACGGTGCGCCCTCGCAAGGCATACTACCACGGAACCGATGCTGGCTGATACAGCCTCATAGCCAGTGGTTGTCAAGTGAGATGCGTGCACTGGGACCCTGAGTTTCTCGCGCAGGCGTGAAGATGTCAAAGGTAAAAAGTGTTATGGCAGCCCTCTTTTACCCGTGTTTGAGAGAGACTGGAGCAGTCGCATACTTCTGAATTTAGTGATCTGCTTGAGTTAGGGAGTGAGAGTGGGACTAACGATTTGGATCAATAGATTAGATGACTCGCTTTTGCCACTTCTCGGTGCTTCCAAGCTGTTCTCTTTTCTCTTGACATATCGCTAAATTACCCTATCATGTTCCAAATTTTCCGCTGTAGTGGTATACGTGATCGTCTTCCGATGACAATACAGTTATATAGCCCCATATCTATTCAATAAATTTTGGTTCCAATCTTGGCACTGCTCAACTACACTATAGAAAATGTGGCTATATGCATTTGTTCTAATGATATTACATTACCTATAAGATGTTTCTCCACTTAAGAAAACTCCCTGTGTTATCCGCTCGTTTCGAGACACATAATGTCATCCAGCCTTATGAGCTAACGAGGATAGTAATGTCACACGAAAAAGCATTGAAATTGAAATTTTCTCTAGACGTAGCATTAAAGGCTAATAAGCATGTTTGACAACCGTATGTATGGACCTTTTCTGAAAAACCTGTGGAGTCACAAAATTTAAACACCAGTTGATGTATTTAAAGCTGCAATTCTGTGCGATAGAGCACATTCCCTCTGCTTGATCGTTATAGAGCAAGTAGCATTGTTGATGTATTTGTGGCCAAACCTGTGGGCTTTTTATTTTTGAAAAAGGGTCCTGCAGATACAGCTGACAGTTTCGTGAGCATTCACAGTGATTTTAGCAATGTATTGTACACTTCAACTGATACCACTTTTTTGCAATGAATGTGTGGTATAACTTTTTAGTATATTCAATCGAAGAATAACCTCTGTGCTGAGCAGACTATCTTCTTCTCGCGATGTGCACGTTTCCTCTTGAAAAATAATCCTAGGAAAATCTTAGAAATACCCTTTGATTTAACAGGTGGGAGGACCGCTCGCACCCGCGGCGCGGCCTGCGTCTCCTCACAAACATGCTCTGTGATCATCCTCTAGCCTTAAGACGTTTCGGACCGGTGCTGCACATGGTGCAGCACGCTGCTTTGAAGGATCTTTTTGACGTTTACAGGAAGTTTCCTTTTAGTCCAAGATTATCAAATCAAAGACCTAAGCTTCTACTTTCCAAATGACTCTGTAGAGTTGTGCCGCCGATATTTGTTCAGGAGATATGAACACAAATCGAACAACAGTTGCAACAAAGTGCGGCAACGCGATCGACGCGTGCGACGTCGCAACTTTTCTTTGCATCGGTTTCAAAGAGAAAAACCGCAGCTTCAATTCTGATGTGTACGGTGTACAACATAGATACTTTTGGATACTATTAGAAACTGAGTCCTTGTCCTTATCTTTCAGGAAAGCACAGAACTCCTTCTCAAGTGACAAAATTTAAACACTTCGAATTCACTTAGAACTTCGGGTATGGAACTTATCTGACAAGTTGATTACAGATGTAGCACATAGTCTACGAAATAAGGTCCTTTTGTTGGTTAATGGCTGAATGTGCACTCTTTTTCGCCGCGCGCGATTTCGCGGTCCGAAACGTGTTGAAGGCAGTGGATCGGCAAAACTCAACAATTCAGATTACAACGCGATAGGTTCCTTGTCCCCCAAGTATGAAAACAGTGCAATCCTAGTTGCACAGCATGCCTTCCTGCCGAGAAAATGGCCCTTAAACTTATACGCGCAGGCCAATCTTACACGCTTCCGGACAAGTTGGCAATTTCCTCCACATCATTGGAGGCTGCCCGCCGCAATGCTATAACCATTGGGTCCCGCAACGATCCAGCATCATCAGCCTTGCTCCACTCGTCCAATTCTTAAAGGAAGGGCATTGAAAACGCTCGTTTCCGCCGTTTTCAAGCTCGCAGAAGTGGATTTTCGTGATCAGCGTATTGATCCCAGGTAAGCGAAAATTTCAGGTTGAGATTTGCCGAGCCACTGCCTCTAATTAGGCCTCGAAGCCCAGCCTTCCAGCCGCCAATCCCGTTCAATCAAAGGGTAGTTTTCAAATTATTTCGGCTTTATTTGCATGAAACGAAGAGTCTAATTCACATGACTGAAACTTCGAAGTCCACTTATAACTACAAATAATTTTACATCGTACTCCTTCAACTAACCAAAACAATGTTCAATATGGCTGTACAAGCTACATGATCTGTCTTAGCTAACTATACAAAATTTTTACCACACGATTCCGTTGGCTTTCATCACCACATTTCCAAATACGCACCGAAATATATGTCATCCACATTGCTATCGTGCTGAGTAACTTGTTTCAACTTGATGGATTTCAAACGCTGTGATTTTGATATTATGTACCAAATCATAACTGGTGATATCACGGTGTAGAAAGGTATGACCTGCAACAGACTGTCGCTCTCTTCAATTCCATTCCATTCAATCGAATAACACTTACATAAGCGAGAAGAAACAATATTCGAAAAGTAATGTAATCGAACTTGTCTACCAGAAGGGCAAGTACCACGATAGAGAAAGTGAAGAAAGCGTAACATATATTTTGGAATATAGAGAGGGGCAAAAGAAGTCTGATCACGGAGTAGTTTTCCGCCAATTGATAGGAAGAACCCAAATCAAAACGTCTACTGGAATGTGAGGATGAGAAATGATCTTTTCTGTGATCAAATTTTGTCAAAAAATTTAAATAACCTCTTGACGGCAATGTGATTCACAGTGAAGAGAGCTGCCACTCCAACTAAAGTGATCACGTTTATGGAGCAAAGCAGATAACATAATATTGTTATTCTTTCCAGGTTGCGTGGCGATAATCCGGTACAGTAAGGCAAATACGAATAATCTTCTACACGAATAGTCCAGGCGACGAAAGCTAATCCAGTTGAGACCTAGCAAAAACTTATTGTAAGGTTATGTGACCATTTGCCAGTCTTCTCTCACCGAGACGAATGCGAAACTAAAACCGAGTTTTCTTCCAAATGTTTCATAATTGCTGCGCTTCCACAAGGCCACATATCTTTCAGCTACCATAGCAAACTGCAAAGAGATTAGTTCTTACAGAGAGAATGTATTTCTCTCCGCCAGTAAAAGCGCACCTGCAAAATAGCAAAGGAGATCATGCAAAAGTTTCCCAAAAACCGTAGTGTGAAGCATACATCTCTCGAGATCACAAATTCACATGGTCTTTGCAAAGTTACATAGTTTCCAGCTTGATAAACCTGAATCTTACACTGATAATAACTCGAATATACAACACAAATCAAACATTTTGATGTTAATTTGAGTAAAACTAGTTATGCACTCACTAACGCGCATGATTGTAGCACTAAAGACTGATCAGAAAATTGCTGTGAAATCAGAACATCTAAATCTGCCCGCTCACAGATCCAGTCTGCCGTTCCCCAAGGCTGATACAAGACCGTAAAGATTTCTTTCCTAATAGCCAAGTTGCATGGAGAAGGGCATGCAGAAAGCTTTGATAGGGTATGTGGTTGTCAGATTAGATATAATGAGAAAAATTGCGACTCTGGAGATACCCACACTTGCAATAATTCCGCATGACTCCAAGAAAGGGAAAATAACACTACTAATTATGGAATGGAAAAAATTGCTGCAGCGGCATCCAGCACTACTGATGGCGAAACTAATCGTCAGGCTTAGGGAGGCTTATTACGGCTCCACTTTGTTCCTGCCACCCGTTTCAAAATCTCTCAGAACTTCACATCCAAAGCCCTAAGAGGTCTAACGAACGTGATGAAGACCTTTGTGTGGCCTTTCAACATGCTCATCATGCACGAATTATGGATTAGTAGAAGAAAGTTCAAAAAATACATGCTGCGGGACTACCTAGAGCCCTCACTTAGCGCAACCAGCAACGAAACATTTGCGCTCGCGTATGTTAGTCCAAGACACGGAAGAAAGGATACACCTTACGACACTTACAAGGGAAGGATACTAAATTAGATTGTCCGTTTGAGATGGGACACATATACTTCGAATCAACTTCGAAGGCTGATTCCAAATATGCTGCTACTAGCTGCTTGGCGTTATTCCAAACCGAATTATGGGCTTGCTGTTGTGAGCGACTAAAAGACTTCTGAATGTGGTAAGACGACGTGTAGATACGAATCTGCTTGAGGAAAGTGCTAGGATGTTGAGCTAGCATCGGTTAACTCTTTCGATCTCAAAAGAGAGCACTATACAGTTGCAAGACCATCTAGATGTCGACACCGGTAGCATCAGTAAGTAGAGGCGCACGCAAACTTTGCATAGAAAAGAGACCATAACTCGCTTCAGAATTATGGTAAGCAGCTAAGAATAACATATTTGGAATCAGCGTTGCAAGTTGATTCTAAACATGTGTGTCATCTCAAAAAGTGAATCTAACTTAGTATCCTTCCCCTGTAAGTTCCGATAGCTGCACCGCAAGCAACATTTGCTTATTCGGATCCAAGAATGTGAAGTACCCAAAGCCATATAATTGCCGTTCAAACGCTTTCTCCAGGAAAGGCCAATTTTGTGATATAAAGCCTTTGCAGCACGCTAGCTCTCATAAGAGTTTATGTGATGCTTTTACCTGCAGTACGATTGTAAAGATAGAGTGTGCGATGTATAACACTAGCATAGTCAATATCAAGATCTAGAACAAGTAATTACAAACAATAATAAACAAATAATAAAAGTTACAACATCATCGCAAAATCAATTTTTAATTTTGAAGGGGCATTGAAAATTTAGGAAAAAACGGTTTGATCTAAGTTCTCATGCTCTCTGTCATGCTCATCAGTTTTTGTTTTTTGTTGTTAAGAAGTAAATGAGTGTTTTTGAACGTAACAAAATTAATACTTGGCTAGTTTGGAATACATAGGCTTTCCGTGAGTCACTTTTCGGAAAAGAAGCAAACGGAACGCAATATAATATCTAACTTACCCTACAGTTGGCGTGAAAACTTAGCTGCCCGCATTTTACAATCACGAATGCAGAAATGATAATGGATAGCACACTGGCAGCAATGTGTGAATTCATAACCATGAGAAATCCAGGGTTTTTCAGGAGATTATTCCACGTTGAACAGTTCATGCTCTTCTTCCTGATCAATGTCCTACATCAAGAAGCATCATGGAAATTAGTTGGTAAACGCATAAATCTAACACTAGTGAGGATAAAGACGGCTTAAGGAAGCAGTGATTATGAACAGAAATACTAATTTAAATTATGAAGCAATACATCATAAGTATTTTCTCAAATTAACCAACTTTTTCGCAATTATGTCAGCAACAAATGGAAATTTTCAAACAACACCTTTTTTCGACATCATTATATAACAGGCAAAACAAGCCCGGTTTGAAAAAGAAGCAAAGGAAATAACTTTAGCACTATTCATATGCACGCATGGATAAATCGAACCACCGACGAGTGCTCCTCTATCGTAGTATTGCAAGGAGGACATTACTTAAAAATGGTATATTTAGGTTGGAAACTACTGAGTGTAAAGTCCGTCTACAAAGTTCAAAATTATGCTTAAGTCTTCACGATATATGGGCGCAAGCTTCCCAAATTACCGAACGCTATGTCCTTTGTTATCTTGGGACTGCAAGCAATGCCTAGATATAAAACTTTTCCTTACTGTTATTCAAGAAATGACTTTCAGAGCGTGGTCGACCTAAATTGTGAGAAGCTACTTGAAAAACAACTTTTTTGTGTTTATATGGATCTTTTAGGTGTTTATAGAGGGAAGTACTTCGTAAATGGTGTAGGAGAAATGTGTCAAAGAAACTCAGAAGATAAGAACTAGAAAACCTCTGATATGGAGACCCCCTAGAGTGTTACTCATGCTTGCTTGAATACGTGTAACCCTCAAGGGTAATCAAATGCTATCTAATTTGCTCTAGCTCCTAAACAGAAGCTGCAATGTTTCAATTTTGCGTCTAGTAGCCATCGCGAGCTCTCTAATTACCATAACATCGACGTTTACTGAGATAGTCCAATGGGGAACAAATCCGTTTTGACACATTCATGACAATGCGACCCCCGCTGGGTCGCACGTGTACTGCCATTTCGGATCATACGAACCACTGGTGGGTCCTATACTATGTCTAAACATTGACGAAACTACCTATGTTTCAGCACATGTTTGGAAAATTCTAGGCGAAGCTTTGATTTGAAGACTGCATCTCAGACCCTATGAACCTCTAGTCAAGGATTTGTAAGAGAATGTGGGCAAATAGGCCGTATTCAAAAAGGCAGAAATCGATAAAATAGCTTGGTCGTTCTGCTAAGCGTCACATAGACCATAATGAGAAATATCTATCTGATTACTTTTGCTCCATTCCTATAACTTAAAACCGTCCTCTTCCTTATCTAATGTTCAGATGATCTGCACTCTTGCTTCCAGCGCGGCTTGGTGTCAACCGAGTTATTTTAGGCTCTGCTTAGCCCTATGACGTTGTTTCGCGGAACCCTATGGATATGGCTTTTACAATCTTTAAGCATATAAAAGTATCATGCATCTAGGAACCACAATGGCAAACCTAAATTCGTTTTCTTACTGGGTCATGATTTTATGAAAGTTTGGTCAGAAGATCTTCTTTCCTCTTTCATTCAGCAACAACTTTGTATTCATCCAACAAATCCTTCAAATTTCAAATGGCCGACCTGAGACCAGATTTCGTTCAACTTGCCAACATTGCTCGTGATATGAAGGCCTCAAAACACTCGTCTCCTGCATATAATCAGGGTCAAGCAAGGAGTGTGGCACACGATCGCTGGTTGCGACCCCCCCTGATTGCTGTCTCAATAAGATCCTCCCCCCCCCTGAACTATATACCTAAGATAGCCTTACCAGAGTTGAGAAAGAGGTCAGGCACAAGTCTTTCGAACCCCTCCCTCCTCCCATGAAAGCCCTCAAACGACCCCTTCTTCCTCCTCTTAACCTCTAGACCTCAAAGTGTGACATTCTGGAGGACACCATCTTTTTCTAGAGAGTTTTCAGATTTCTGAGAGCTGTACGCCCGATTTTCTGTGACTGCACTTTACAATCACACGTAATTTGACAGCTGATTTTGATCTGAATGGGCATATTGAAAGGGCCATAATTTTCTTATGGGTGGGGCGTTCGGCTCCAAATTTCCAATGTAGCAAGAAGAAGCTATGCTCAATACATACCAGCAATGGAGCGCTTTCTGGATTTTGAAGGCAAGTTAAGGGAGTGTGCCGCAGCCCATTAACTACATCAAAAAAAACATTTTTAGCGGACAGTATTTATATGAATCGAAAGCCTAAACCTTGTATGTTTGGAGCCTGATTTGTCTTCTTAGCTCTAATTGTAAGTAATACTTGGTGAAAGCACAGCGATTAAAGCGAAAAATGGGAAAAACGAGATTTTGGTTGGCTTCTAATTCCACAGTTTGCAGGTCTTCTGAAGCGGGATTCCTGAGGTGGACAAAGAAGGTGTAGTGCCTTGTCTTGAGTGCAAAAACGGATAGCTAATTCACCTTTGAAACAAAGTTAACCATGTTGGAATTTGACCATTTCATTTAGGTAGCCTAGTATCTTAAATCTTCAGAAGTTGCTCACACTTTGTCTACAGGGGTTAATTGACATGCTAATTATGGATATGATACGAATATCATGTTATCACTATTATCAGATTACCCAACTACGACCCCCTCCCCTTTTGACTCCTCAATACGACCCCCCGGGTGTGGCGTGCCGCACCCCAAGCTTGACCCTGCATATAACTCCCTGGTATCCATAGACAAGGCGGTTGCAGCGACGATCTTCATGTTGTTTTAGTTGCTCTCTGCAAAAGTTCCAAACAATGTAACCCGAATCCTCTATTAATCCGGAAGAAGAGACAAGACGGTTTTGATGACCTTCCTATCGCAATCGGTGCTGTTCGTCTACAGAACTTGATTTGATCTGTCAACGTAATTTATGGGATATGCAGCGTCCAGGCAAAATCTGACCCTTCCAATTAGTACATAGAATGTGGGCTCCAGTAGGAGGGGATCTGCATTGGTCTGGTCCGTGGTCTTAGGAGGAAATGGATTTGGCGCCCACAAAAGTGCTATCAAGCCACGTCTGCCCTATCAAGCTCTGCCCACCCAAGTACTGAAAGTCTCCTGTTTCTTCGGAATAGGTACACGGAAATCGGGTTTTTGGGGACTTTGCACATTTTGAAATTCATAACTGTAATTAGAGCCACAGAAAACCCAAGAATGGCAAAGAAAATAAAATTTTGAGTGGGTGCTGCGTCCAAGTTTTCCTCCTGTTTCAAAGATCATCCTAAACCTCCTAGACAGTACATAGTTTAAAGATCAACTGCTTGCCTCTATCCACAAAAGTAAAGCCTCTGGGGTATTGAGTATTCAAGTGTGGTCACATCAAAAAAGGCGTGAGGTATGATTAGATACCATAAAAAATTTCTTTCATGCGCTCTTCCCAAGACCGCGTGAAAATAAAGTCCAAGCTTAATGTTCGGCTATGAATTGAAACAATAGGACACTTATAAGCAATATTTTATATGCATGTACATAGCACATGTCATAAAGAAGAATCAGAATCGCTGTTCTGACATGGAAGCATCCAAGAACACAAGCGGATATACAATGAAAACTGAAAGGGGATGGGCACATTTTTTTCACTCGACGCTATGACCTGCATAATTGGCTTATTATATAGAGTCATCGACTACAATGTCACAAACCGACTAATGTCGACAGCAAAAATAATCATTGGATGCGTTTTCTGGGTTGTATCTGGAATGACCGATGACAACTCTGTCGAAATAAATTAACGAAAGTTGAGGTGCGCATTGTGAGTAGATCAACAATCGAACTATGAAAGCCATTTCGGATATTGAGAGTTAGTCTATCGGCCGTAATGTGAGTTGTAGATGAAGTTCGCCGTTCACCAAAAGGGGAGAGTCTTCCGTGAGCAAATCGTTTATCTCCACTTTTCGGTCGATGTCAAGTTCACTTGAGTACCTGGAAAAGACAATTTTTTGTAGATCATGTTCGATCTGCGGTTTTTACCTCGTTTTTGTGAAGTTCTTCTTGCTCGACCAAGACCTTAACACTCGCTTCTCATCCACTATTGACAGCATGTACTCAATGGACCTTCAAAAATAGAAAAAAGTTCTGCAGAAAACGAATCAGCTCAAAGTGATTGCTAAATTACCTTGGTTGGTCGATATCCTCAGAGATAAGGTACGCTTTCAGAACATCGTCTACAGCATTAGAATATGAAGACCCTCCAAGTTTTAAAGTCCACTGCCAAGTTTGTAATGGGAATGTGCAAGAGCGAGTACGTATCTGCGAGGTGATTGTATAAGTAGGACAACTACGTTAGGAAACACAAACACCCAAACTTACCTGGAACGAATGATCTACTCCCCTTTGATAAAGCTGCTCGTTTGAGATCGAAATTCGTTTATCCCATCGAGTGTCCGTATAATTTCGAAGCAAGAACTGTGTTGTTGAGAATTCCCTGAAAAGACAGCATATGCTTTCTTCCATGTTGAGCCAAATGTGGAAAAAAAATCACACGAAATTCAATGACAGGGCTCGCAAGAATTTAGAACCAATTTCCACAAAAACTGGTAACTTTCAAAAGTGCGCAAACTCAATAAATTAATTGCAGGCCAGAACTGATTTCACTTTGTATTGGAAAGGACATGAAGTTGACTTCAAATTTTGAAAGGGTCGTCCCATGCGCAAAAGTCTTTCTCTCTACAAAAGGAATGTTTAGCGTTTGAAATTTCTCTTTCCTGTACCCCTGACCATAAGTTTGAAATTTCGATTTTTGCTCAATAAACGGCCGAGCATATATGTAAAATTGGATGAAACTTACTTGCAATTGACTCGGCTAGAAAGTGGTAGTGCTTGGAACTTATACGCTAGGAGTATCTGTGGATGAAAGAGTTTCGGGTAGCTTTCGGCAAACTGAGAACGTTCCACATGAGTCAGTTCATCGGCAGTCATAAATGGAAAGCTAAAAAAACTTTTCCATTTGTTTTATATATGGAAGATTCTTGCAAAGAAGGATTGAGTACTCTTACCGTATAAAAGGCAGTAATGACGAGAGAAGCGGGCTGGCTGTAGTACCTCGACGTTCAGGATGATTTGGTGCCTGTAGCCATCGTACAACCGCTTCCCAAAGGCGATATTCATCTAGGCACACGAATATTAGCGTCATATACACAGATTGATTGAGAACAAGTCAAAAACTTCTATATAATACTTTTCTGACAAAAATGGACATCAATATTTAGAAAGTCTGACAAGTACTGGCTTGTGGAGGTTACGTCGTCTACTGGGAATGCTTACGCGGGCAAGTGATGCAGGCTGTAACGTGTTAAGGGACACAATTTGTGCCAGAGATCCACCCGAGATCCTGGCCTGCAGGTGTATGACTTGCACACAAATGTTCACTAGTGCAAGGATGTTGCTGATGAAGAAATGATTGAATTTCAGAACTTTAAACAATTCTTAAATGGGCAGATACGATAGTAGCCGTTATCCGAAAAGCGAAATTGGGCAGAAACTGGGAAAATAGCTGCTCCACAAATTCAGTTTCAAATGCAAGTCTAGCCAAAAATTATGCTCCCCGACAAGCACATACTCTAAAAGCAGTCCCTACAAGTAGAACCATTTTCGCTGGTTTGGTCCTCTAGCGTTCCCCCTGAGAAAAAAATGGGCCTGGAATTTGCGGAAACGTTATCAAGCGCCCGCTCTGTCTTGGGGAACCTCACTCCGCCCCCCAAGTGTCGTCCATCTATGGACTGGAGTCGTACGCTTCTCGAGTACCAAAAGACGGATTTTTCAGGGGGTTTCAACATTTTGCACTCTATAATCAGACACAGAGCCGCTGAAAGGCCAGAATGATAAAAACATACAAGCCGAGGATTTGAGTGAATGCCGCCTTTATAGGCAGTGTCTCGACAAGGCTTCTGCAAGATTTCACCTTTTCGGAGCCTTCTCGCCATGAGGAATCCATATCTGAGCTTTTCAGCGCAAGAAACTGGCAAAAATGATTTTTTTCCGAAGCTTTCTAGGTCCGCAAGTGGAGAAGTGGGCGTGGCCCGGGACGAGACAGGCGGGCAGGCGGGTGTGGCTTTTTCCACCTTCACTGAATGCGGACATGGAAAGCTCGGAAAAGGCACATTTTCGTCATTTTCATGCGCTGAAAAGCACAGAAAAGAATTTTTATGGTGAGAAGGCTCCGAAAAGGTGAAGAACTGGAAAACGAAATTTTGCCGAGACACTGCCATTAAGCTAGAAAAACGCTCATCACGTACCAAAAGCGGACTAAATGGTAAACCGCCAAGATTATGCGATAGCAGCCCAAGCACCATTTGACGTACAGCGTACATATGTGGCCGACAACCCGAGGAAGAGTTGCAATGCGCGCACTACGGCCATTTGGTGCAAGTCGCAAGCAAGTTATTAGCATATAACAAGCATGACGTTTGTTCCCGCGCAAATTTTTCGTCAGCGCAGCGGCACAATACTGTGCGTCAACATAACTTGTAACTCACTTGCAACGACAAGCTGATTACACTTGAGTATCTCAACCATTTGATCCCTATCCAGTGCCAACCAACTCTTCTCCCACTCTTCAGTGATTAGCAATTCAAAATCTCTAGCGATTGCTTGAATGCAAGCGCGAATGAGCAACTGTAACAACAAACTTTTAATTTTGACAATTTGTTTTTCAAAAACTAACCCCTACCTGATGATACGCTTTTGTAGCGTACGAAAACCATATGCTGAACACATCCTTCAACGTCAAATTTGGAAGGATTTCAGATATGGCAAAATCGATGCATACCTGAAAAAACAAGCGAATATTTTGTTAAAATCTCAGGTTAGCTTTTCCTACCTTCTTCAAGCTAATCACATTGTATTTGTCAGCAAGTATCAATATTGGTAGACAATTATCTTGATGTAGCACTACATGATTACAGTAGAGAAACCGAAGAAACGCTGGGAACACTTTCTGACATGGGGCATCCTCCACCATTTCGAGATCCTATAATTTTGAACATAAAGTTCTCGCCTTTATGATTTTGCCTTGCCTCTCTAGGAGGAAGCCTAGAAGATTTTAATCTTCTAATTCCTCCTTTTTTTACTGGGAAATCAACAAAGAACAACCATCTTTTGTGATTGATAGCTCACCTTCTTTTCGCCATTCCATCTTTGACTGAGCATTCGATCAAATACTTCGCTATTTTTCGCCAAAATCAGACGATGGGCAGCGAAACTAAATCAAACCCTTGTTATTATGTGATCTTCAACAGATTAGCTTGAATCATAGCCTTACATTACTTGATTTGGCCAGTCCAAGTTTGTGTGTTGAAAGATTTTTTTACGTAGGCTATTTTCCTTCATGGGTAAAGAATGTTGATACTGCGACTAGAAATTTATGATGACACTTCAAATTTCTTTGGCGTCTCGTCTGCATTAAATAAGAATAGTTAGAAGAAAGTTCTATCTCCCGCCGCTCAAAAATCTGTGATTTTGCGTACTAGAGAAGTCATAGCAAATCATAAAGACAAACATCAATATTGTCTCCAGCGATATAAATTATGTTTGATCTTTTTGAGAGAGAAGCTTGTGCAAAAATTATCTCTAAAGCTGTTGTTCGGGAAATACAAAAAAATTGTCTCCTTCCTTTAGCATGTTTCTCAATGCCATGAAAAACCATGTTTGAACAGCGTAGCTTCAGCAAATCAGAATATACTGATTTCATTCTATGCTAAGTTTTACTAGCGGAGCCAAGTCTGACTCCCTCGTTATAACATTTTGAGGCCCAAACGAAACTTGCGAAATCTAATATTTACTTTCAGTCAAATCACTTCAGTGTTCCATATTGACTTTCGCTTCATACGTTATAGAAAAACCCTATCCGCTCTCTTCAGCAACATCAGACTCATTTTCAAACATGCAGGACTACGAATTTTTGGGACAAAATTTGGCGAGGGGAGAGGGAAGGAGACAGAACTTTCGTTGCAGCCTCGAAAATAATAAAAATGTTGGATTGGAATTCGTCAGGTAGATTCCTTATTCAAATGCGTCAGATGAATTGCATACATTACAATGAAGGCTTCTACAGATGCAAACCCCGCCCATCGAGTTTTTCTCGCAAGGGCGCGTGCTCACTCTCTGCGTTTTTCGCATTCTCTCGCGACTGTCTGCCAGCCCGCTGGGGTCACAACGCGCTGGATAAATGTGCATGGTTACCAATGGTCTTCACAAATCAATGAAGATTGTATCTTTTCTCAGCTCAACCTAGAGTGCAGCTTTAGCCCTTTCTACTTCTAGAATATTTTGCGGTAAGTACACCAAAACTTCCGCAAATACGTACACTGGTACTGCCTGCCTCATTGTCTCGCTTCACATTCAAAATCATATTTACCGAAAGTCTTTTCGTGCACCCCACCTGACTGTAAAAAGTGCAAACAAATTAGTGAAAAATGATCAACCTGGTAGAAGAAGTATGGTCGTTGTTCTGATGAACGACACAAAACGAGTTTTCTGTGAAAAATTTGGCGCAACGGTCTCCACTTGGGTTTTGTCACCACACCCCCAATGAATCACAAATTGCTCCGCTTAGTCGAGAACTTTGATGTGAAGAAACATTGATCAGATTTTTTTAGTGGTTCTTTATGGAAGGGACCTGAAGGAGGGTCCCATTTTAATTCTTTTTTCGAAAAGGAGGATCTAAGACAGCATATAATGATGTGAAGTAACAAAATGCATGTATTCTGTTTTATCGTACTAGCCTTAACGCCGAAGATTGATAATTCGAAAGGTAATGGGAGGGGGGGGGGGGAGGGGTAACAGGGCAAACGAGCCAACTCATAAAAATCATATTATGTATAACTTCCGGATACCATACGAGCGGCATTTCTACTAGGGTTTTTCTTCGTCGTTTATTAGGATCGATGTACAAGTGAAGAACGCTTTTCTATTAGATCTGGTTCTTTTCTTATTGAAAAACTGGATGAGCAAGCAGGGCATGATCATAAGAACTTTTTTGTAAGAGTGACACAATTACTATGCATTTTTGCTAGGAGAAAAAACAGACCGGAAGATGTGATGTTCCTTAGGATGATTGGAACGATCTGGTGCCAAAATTGATCTTTTGGTTTTTGCACAATTGCACTTCAAGGACACTGTTCAAATGGGGCAATTTTTAAAATTGAGTGATGATCCTGTCATGGCAAGACAACTTCCTAGATACTTCTTGTTATAAAAATTGAATTCCTGAATCTCGTGGTAAAAGCGCCTTTTTTTGATCCTGGGGCATTTTGCCTCTTTAAGCTAAATTACACGACAGGTGGATGCATGGTCATCCGATGACAACAACGAAATTTGGGACTATTTATTGATGACGTAATTAAATTTTTTTACTTTTTCTTAAAAATTTGGCAACCACAAAATTGCTGCATTTTCTCTTAATTTTCTGATTTTTTTTGCAACAAAGGGGGATTCGCGAAGCAACTGTTCTCCATCATCGTAATTCACATTTCCAATATGGATATGGATATATTTCGACTACTTGCTAGTGAAAACTTACATCTCTGTTTAGTAAATAATGCTACATCATAGAAGCATTTCATCAAAAAATATTTTTGGAGTGAAGATAGATTTCACAATGAAAAAAAAATCATAAACTCACGTATCATCTCCTACAATGATATTGACATCGCTAAGATGAGCATTGTTGTAGTATTTGGCAAAATCATTTAACGCATCTCGATCGTCAGCAAAGCAATCCATGCCTGAACACATAGAGACAATAGATATGGAGTAGGTGATCAATAATAACAAGCCCCTAAATCCTATTTCTATACCAGCCCATCTACTCTCAAACAAATTTTTTTCCATTGGGGTTTAAAACACCCCGAGATTTTGTGGAAAATGGAGATGGTTTTTTGGTTTTTTTGTGTTGAATATTCTTGTAATTTAGAATTTACAGTTACCCGATGGTTCGTCGGGTGCGATGACAAGACGATTCGGTACATCGTGCAGTTTCATCGCGACCATATCAGCAGCACTAGATGTCGTGCTTTGTTGAATTGTGAAGACGTCGGCAAAGGCAGCAGCCTCGTTCGGCTCTACAGTATCGCGAAGAATATTTTCCGACGACATTCTCGACGACAAGGCGACTTGACTTCGAGGAATATAAGACACACTAAGAGGTGGAGCAAGTAAGGACGGGGGTAGGTATTAAAATAAATCGATGTGCTGCACTTGTGATCGTCGGGTGGTTCTGTCGCGGTGGCGGCTTCAGATGCGCGGCAAGGCACACAGCGCATAGTTACATACACTGGCAACATATCGGCAAAAAATCTAGCGCAAACACACACTTTGGACGCAAATGCACAGATAATCACAAGAAGAAGTCGCGCAGAATTTTCTAGGGCTCTGAGCGAGCCGCCAATGTCAATAAGAACTATGTAATTGAACATCGGATGAGCTAGTTGATATCAACATTCAGGGACAATCGGCAGCCATCGCACGAACGCCATCCACATCATCATCGTCGACACGCACAGAGTTATCGACGTTTATAATTGCGAAATTTTCCTTTTTTGCAACCCCTCTGTGCCGTCCTGGACGAGTTTTCCTGTTAGATTGAACTGCATCGATATATATCTGCATTGAATAATTTGCTTGGCCAATATATTTGGTTGGCAAAAAAATGATTTAGGTTATTTTTGACGGTTTGTACAAACGTTAAAAGCCAATTTTAATATAAATGTGTATTTATTTGGAAAAATAATCCAAAAAGAGTTAGATGTTCAACTCTGTTTGAGCAAAAACGTTTTAGTGATGAAAAATGGGCGCAGTAAAATGGTGTCGATGGTCTAGATGGTGGTACAAATGGTACGATATCCTTGTTCGAGTAATTTATTAGTAGCCATTTCCTTTCCTCTGCAAATCATTTTGGAACGGTTTCAGTTATATTAGCATAACTATGGCTATAAAATTTTGAAGAAAATTGGTTGGTTCCGTGACCGCTACGAGAAATTGTACTACCACCCATAATGAGAGAAGTGAAGAGATCATTGAATTCGCTAGTTTCAAAACTCCTATACAGTTTCGCGTTTAAAATGGTCTACAGTAGTCGAAATATTACTTTATCTAATGCATGCTCGTATGACAATTGGAAAAAGTACCGTAGTGATTTTTTAACTATGCGTCCTGAGTGGAAGACGGTATATGCAGCTACAGTATTCTAATTCCATCATCTCACAGCTCAGTGTCAGCTCTTTTTTGACTTTTCCAGAAATTGGGATATTTTCTTAAAAGCTGAAATCCAAATCAGATATTTATTTCCATACTCTGATTATGAGATTAGATTTCAATTTTTTTCTTATTCGAATAATTCAACTATTTTGGAAGTCAAAATTTAGACAAAATAGATCAATATTTTATTTGCATCAGATATGCTCTGCGTTTTTTTTTGGATTTTCCCATCACGAAGAAGTGAAAAAAGAGCTTGCTTCGAGTTATTATCAGACTTTTTCATTAGTTTGTTTTAGACTGCGTGGAAACATCTTGAAAGACTTCAAAATTAAAATTAAACTGTAACAAATTTGCTTTGCATGTTATTTTCCTTCAATTTTATTCTATTTTTGCTTCACAAAAGCTATTTATTGCCATTAGATTGCATTGAATTTGCGTTCCTGAACTACAAATTTAAGGTCCAAAGAATACTTGCAACTAGTCTTTAAAGATTCTATGAAAAACATCGCCTATCTGTTCTCTGAACTTTCACTGTTGAATTTTCGCTAATTCTTCCACTAGAAAGAACGCGCGCACATAGCGGTCTCCATTTTCAACAATGAGCTAAACTGGTTTCGTCAATGTTGGAGCAAATATCTTAGCCCATGGAAAAACTGGCAACAATGCTCCTTTCTGATTCGAAAGAGTTACGGGTAAAGTAGGTACAAAAGGGGTAATCATCCTCTCCCCGCCCCCTTTCGGCTATCAAAAAATCCCTATCTCTAATGCAGCAATATCCTTCCATTAATGACCTGAACTTTACACATAAAGGCGGACAAATTCACTGCACATTATGGATGAGTGAGGATAATTGGTAGTCTCTGAAAGTGTTTTTCTGCTGCGATTAAAGTGCTGTAGCATGAAATGTACAATATGTCCGTGAATACCCAAAGTTTAATTCGAATCCATTTTGAAAACCTTCATCCATCAAACTGATTGACTAATTAGAAATTTCCAGATATCTTAGCCAACAAAATAAGTTGACGTTTTTCAAATTAGAAAATTACAGCGGAAATTGTAGCAGTATGTGCTTCTAAAAGCACCTGAGTAAACAAATGCCTTTCTCTCTGGCGGTAGTAGTGATAAATTTTTTTTAAACAAAATCGAGCGTTGATTACTCGTGGCTCACAGCGAAATTTCGCAAGAGTTTCACAGAAATGTAAAAAACGCAACGTAACAGATTCGAAAAAAAATGTAGCAATATATGGTATCCACGCTACTCTTTTGGAGAAAAGCTTGAGATCTAAACTCTTGATTGCGCTTATACCGTGTCCCTCACAAACGTCAAAAGTTTTTCGGTGGAAAATAAAATAGACATCTCAAATTTGGGTACTTCACAGGTTTTGAAGACAAAAATGATTTCAGAACTTGCAGGGCATCATAACAAATGATACTTGCACAAGCATTTTCACTTTCGTAACGACCATAACAAAGTATCCGAATCATACGGCCACTTACATACAATTGTTACTTAAGAAGAAAACTAGAAAATAACACCCCTGACTGGCATGCCATGAATGGGAACTTGATTTGAACAACCGCATTCTTATAAGAAACCTTTACCTGCCTATGGTCACATTTTCTCGGACTATTTCGTTTTTACAGAAATCTGTTCACTTTTAGAATTTATAAGGTGCTATACCTGTAGGAGATCACGATCAAAATTTTATTAGTTTTCAAGCTAGAACATAAAAGCATACTTCTATATGTTCAATCAAAAAAAAAGAAAAATCTGTCTAACTGCGAAAAAATTCTCTAGCACACCTGCATAATTTAGAAGAAGTTGTGAATTCATGGAGTACGCAAGAAGATGACGAGTTCAACTGAGTATATTGAAATAAGAGATGAAGTCGCAAACATTACTGTTTTGTCTGCTTGTACTCAAAGGGCAAGTTTTAGCTTAACGCAAATCAGATGATGTGCTAGTCAAGAGGTGAGATTTTGATGCCGTTTCATTTGATCAACCTTTCCACTCTCTTAACACTGGGTAGAAAAGAAAGGTATGGATTCAGAAAAGGAATAAATTCATCATTCTATACTAGCTCACTTTATACCAATTATAGAAAAACAAGGAAATGCACACCATTCAAAGCAAAATCTGAAAATTTTGACAAACTACAGCTGTTTTGAATTCCAAAACAAGTGTACATAAATGACAGATTAGAACATCTTCCGTCACTTTCTTTGCTTTGATTACGGTAGAGCTGACCTAACTATGTCAAAAAAAATATATAAACTTCTAAAAAAAAGATGAATTTTTGATTTTTTAGGGGTAAGAAAAGAAGTGGTTTATCAACCAAGTACAAATGGTCCGAAGTTCCAAAAAAGGTAGTAAAGCGACAGATTATAACGGTTTCTCACTTTCCTTGTTTCAATCTCGGTAGATAAGGGTCTAAATTAGCTCACTTTCTACAATTATTCCAAGAAATCTAATTTTTTAAAGATCGTTCCCAGAGCAAAACAAAGCCAAAAATTTGGATCAATTTTTCGCTCACTTTTGCAAAACAGGCTTATATATAACAAAGAAGACCACCATTAGGCAACCACAGGCTTTAACAGAATGGGGTTTTTTCTCGGGTATTGGGCGGGGTAACTCTCTCCCGCAAAAACACCCACTAAGTTGCTTTTGCCGCGCTAAAACGTTCTTAGTTCTTGTGCAGCTCGTGGACGTAGAATTTTCGGGTAGAAGTCTTCCAAAGCTTTACTTTTCTATTTGACTTGGGTACATTGCATTTAGCGTTGTTTACATAGCGACATAGGGAAAGCAAGGTCTTGGACAGACTTAATGCAGTGTACGTTGATTCACCGGACAAATTTTGAGGGGAGGGGAGGAAGTAAGACAAGCGCCACGAAGTTTCAGGGTAAAATATTGAGGGGCAAAGCTTTTACTAGGCCGGAAAGGACAGAAGTAGAGAAGCCCTGAAAAAACTCGTGATTTTATCAAAACAAAGCTTCCCTATAAAACATCTGCACATTTATGTAAATTTTGATCAATGAAGAGTTTATGAAAAAAAGTTCGTAACGCCAAAAATCTAATACTTTCCTTTAGAAAATTCAGAAAAATTTCGCTTGCATATGCATATATTAGGTTGTCCCGAAAGTTCGTTCGCACCATTTTCAAAAAATCGTAACTTCCCTCCCTCACAATGATTTTGTGCAACTCAAATTTTATTAGAAAGAGTAAAGCATGTAGTTTCTAAAAATCGCCATGCGACTTTCCAGCATGTTCAGATTGCAGAAATAAAAATGAAAGAACGAAAACATCCGACATTCGGAATTTTTGGGAAAAAATTCTAAAAATCTAGAAACTGCGCGATGAAATCCAGAAAAGCCATTATCCTAATTTTTCCTATATTTGATTACTAACTGAGTTAAGTTTGTGCTAATTGAGCTCTTCTTTTAAAAGTTATGATTTTTTGAAAAAAATGCCGAAAAATCAATTTCTTAGGAATCCTTAGGAAAATGATTTTTCGACATTTTTTTTTCAAAAAATCATAACTTTTGAAAGAAGAGCTCGATCAGCACAAACTTAACTGGGTTAGTAATCAAATATAAGAAAAATTGATAATGGCTTTTCTGGATTTTATCGCGCAGTTTCTAGATTTTTAGAATTTTTTCCCAAAAATTCCGAATTTCGGATGTTTTCGTTCGTTCATTTTTATTTCTGCAATCTGAACATGCTGGAAAGTCGCATGGCGATTATTAGAAACTACATGCTTTACTCTTTCTAATGAAACTTGAATTGCGCAAAATCATTGTGAGGGAAGGAAGTTACGATTTTTTGAAAATGGTGCGAACGAACTTTCGGGACAACCTAATATAATAGTAACGATACTCTTTTCTTAACTAGAGATTTGTATTTTTATGTAATTGGAAGTAGACAAAAAAACGAAAAACTTAAAGGGCAAATTTCGCCCTTAGAAAACTTTCTGGCTGGCTGGCTTCCTTAAGTATATACGTATGGGAGGAGCGCAGGGCTGTTAGGGGGTGGAGTTTGCCATTCTCC